TTTTCCAGCAAACTTTTCCTAGGTCAAATTAACCAATGGTACGTATTATCCATCTTGATGTTTTATATGTAGTTTATAAACTTTAGCATAAAACAATTTATCATTAGGTAAGATACAAATGTTTTGACAACTTACATATAGGAGAACGTATTTCATGTGTTTTACCCTACAGCTTTTTAAGGCTAGTGGAGACCATACCAATAATCCAATCAGACCTGCATTAAAATAGGACCTGCATCCAGGCCACATCCCCCTAAACTCATCAAGAGGTCAGACATTGCACCGGTTATTCCTATTGCCATGACACTGACTAAATCAGGGCAGGACTTAATGCTGCAGATGCTCATCTGCTAGGGAAGTTGCATTTTTAAAATAATATTCTTTTTGGATTTATACGAAACTCCATCATGTATTTCTACACATGCTTTGTAAAAGATCATTTTTGTACCTAAATGTAACCAAACTGTGTAACTCTGTAAAAAGGTAGCACGCATATTTGTAACTATCATTCATTCCCTACCAGAGAAGTTTTCTCAGACTCATTAGTAAGGTTGCTAAAGTTCATACTTTACAGTTTCACCTACACCTACTTAATAATTTACAGGATGGGAATTGCATCACTGAATTATGTTTGAACAAAGCACTTAACTTCAAGTATTGTTTAAATTCATCGCTATTTGTCAGGCCACTTAAGTATGTTTTAAAGTTCCAGTGGAGCCTTGGTATGTTTAAGTGGTTTGCTGAATAGAGATGAATTTAAGTACATGCTTTTGTTTCTTGTTGGGGTTTTGGTTTGTTTGTTTGTTTTTATGAAATAGAGGCTTATTCTGCAATTTAATATACACTTCCAGTGTTTCTCCTACTAAATGTCTAAGAATGATAGCTGCTTAAGATCTTTAAATTATCTAGGAAAAGTATGCAAATATTTTTTTATAATTTATCCTTTGAAATACAGAACAAAGAATTGAAATATCCAGTGGCTTATAAACTATAGTAAATTTTTAAAATGTGCAAATGACTTTTATAGGGATATGCTCAATGTATACTTAACAGATCCCTAAAGCTACTGGCACAACTTCACAGAAGTTGTGTCAGAGCTTTGTACCTAAGCAGCACTGCTGCAAATGGATAGTGTCTAAATAATTCATTTCCTTCTACATGCAATACATTGACAAGCATAGGTGTCCTCCCAGCTACCTGAGCCTCAGTTACGGTGTGAAAAAGCAGTCGAGAGTTTCTCGAAGCACAGAGGTGCAAAAGTAACATAATGGAGTAAACAGTGTAAATTCTGGCATGAAAAATGAGCGCTGAAAACAAGAGGAAGTTGATATGTTTAAATTTTTTTAAAGATCCATTTAAATTTAAATAGAATAAAATGAAATAAAAGAAAATAAAAAGTAAACAAAATATTAAAACCCCCACCGTAAAATAAAATAGAATAAAATAAAATAGACTAAAACAGAATAGAATAGAATAGAATAGAAAGAATAGAATAGAATAGAATAGAATAGAATAGAATAGAATAGAATAGAATAGAATAGAATAGAATAGAATAGAATAGAATAGAATAGAATAGAAGAATAGAATAGAATAGAATAGAATAGAATAGAATAGAATAGAATAGAATAGAATAGAATAGAATAGAATAGAATAGAATAGAATAGAATAGAATAGAATTTTTAAAAGTAAAATGTATGGTAATTTTAAAAAGTAAAATGTATGGTAGGGTTGTCCCAGCTGCCGTAACGAAGCAGGCTGGCAGGCAGGCGCCAGCGAGCGCCCCCGTTCCGCCTGCCCTCTGAGCTGGGTGCTGCCAGCCCCGCGGTGCCATCGGAGGCCGGCCCGGGGCGGCGGCTGGGACAGTCACGCTGGGCGACCCTGGCAGAACGTGGAACTGGAACCGAGCAACCGATCAGAGCAAAACCAGAAGGGGTTTTATTTTCGAATCAGTAGAGAGAGCAACACAAAGTGAAGTTGCAGATGGGAAAGCGATACGTGCTTTCCCATCTGCATAATTCACCACTAATATAGGATTCATATGAGCGCTTTCTCGTGGGTAAATCGCGCGCTGCACTGGGAAGAGGCAGTGCATCTGTAGGTTAACTAATAGGGTACCTGGCACTGAATGGGGAAATCTGTTACTTGGTTTTACATCTTGTACTGATGTTACATATGGAGTAAAACTCTGATTTGGCAGCATCCTAATTCTAATTGTGATTTTGCTAGTCTGGACCAAATTTACAGCATGTAGGGTAAAAATGGTGTGTGACGTATGTTGTATGTATGCTTTTACACTTAAATGGCTGTCTATACTGTGTTTTACAAATCTGAAGAGGCACATATGTTGGGTATAATCCCCATTATTTTATCTTTGGATTTTCTCTGCTATGATTTTTTTTTTTTTTTTTAACCAACACAACTCAAAAGGACTTAACAGTGGAGGTCCTCTGCCTACCAAGATTAGACTCTTCTTTATTTAAAAATATTTATAAATAGAGCTCGATTTGGGAAAAAAAAAACTTAAAAAATATGAAGCTGCAAAACTTGTTTCACCTAGAAGCATTGTGGAAACATGGTTCTTCAGCACTGAAAGTTCAGCTGTGGTTTGTAACACTAGAAGAAACGCTAGATAGTATAAAAATATACAACATAAATTAATTTTACCTAATCTTATGGATAAAACAACCATCTTTAAAAGTACGGTTATTTTATAGCAATATGTCAAAGGGAGCTGGGTAGGGTTGAAATTTTATATGAATATTTCTGTTCCGTTTTGATGGATTTTAAACCGTATCACGAAAACCAGCTGCAGCTAAAAATCACAACCATATGAAATCCTAAGGAATAACAAAGGTCAGCAGGATTTAGCCCTTCTTCTGTTATTTTACCTACCATTATCTACCTTTAAATGTGCCATTTCTGGGGCACTTGAGTTCTCTACAAAGCAAATTCAATTCAGTGGAACTATAATATAAAGTAAGAGTGGCACCGTAGAAAAAATGAGTCAGGCAAAATGGATATGAAATCACTGGATAACAAAAAAAGTGCACCGTGTATAAATTGAGGGGGTTGTTGCAGAATTATTTCTGTTAGCGATCTTTCTAATAAATTTGGAAAACCAGGAGGTTACACAGAATAATTAACTCAGTAGAAATCTCAGTTTTGGGCTTCAATTTCTTATTGCCAAAAACAAGAGCTGGGAGACCAATACCATCTTTTCTACCCCCAAGTAAACTACCACAGTCTTTGCAAATACTCAATAACATTTTTTTGCTGCATGATCAATACTTCACAGCACTTTGCTTCTTCAAAGTGCAACATAAGTGCTACAAATTCAATATAATGTTATACTAAAGTTTAATAGGCTAAGGATTATATTCATTTAAAAGAATGCTATCAAGTCAGAAATTACATTAAAGTAAGTCCTCTTATTTGTGTTATTGATTAGAACTAGCTACATTTTCTTCTAAGACTCAGTGCTATGCCCACCTAGATGGGTCCTGTCTATTTTAACACAAGACAAACACCAGCCCTAAACCCCCTTATTTCTTTTACTCTTTCCCTGCCTGAGCCATCACAGGGTTTGTACACTACATACCAATACTGCAACAGAAACAAAGTCCCCATACCTTTAAAGAGGCGAAGGCTCATGCCTTAATAATCTGCACTGAACTTCATTCTTTCTATTGAATTATTGAATATACATTAACAGATTGTCTGTCAGAAAATCCTTTTTTTTGTTTTTTTCTTTCTCTGTCTTTTGATTATGAATGTATCTCTCTACTAGAGGATTTTCCTACTTGCTCCCATCGCACCTGCAATAAATATAGTAAAGATTAATGGTAAATATTACTGTTTTGAAAATACATCTTATGTCTAAGTTTCCTGAGATGGTGCCTCATATGTCAGGGAGAAAAGGCAGCAACGGCACTTTCCCCCTTAAGACAAGACATAAAGGCTGCCTGGATCATGGCCAAACAGCCTTGGCACACACCCCACAGGTATATATTCTCAGTGCACCAGGCTGCCTGGGCTCAAGAGCAGTCTAAGCAAAGGGAAGGCTTTATTTCTAGGCCCTGCAACAAAGCTAACAAGCAATATACTATTCTAGAGCCAGAGAGCATGGAGAAAACAGTGTTTTTTGAGAAAACATGGCTTCTCCAGGGGGAAGATGAATGTAGGTAACAGAGGCTCTAGGAAAAAAAAAAAAAAAAAAAAAAAAAAGCAGTTTTGTCCAGATCCCAAAACACACTGGGCTGTCTTAAGGATGTAAACGGGATCTGTTGCTTTCCTGTATCTGAAGAAGGCCAGTCCAGTAGTTAGATGAGACAAAAACGTGTGCAGGTTGTTTGCTAAAGAAAATAATTTCTAAGCAACGTTTTACTCAGTTTGCTAATAATTTTCAACTTGATTTCAGAAGGCTCTTTTCTCATCCCTGTCATGATTACCATCACAATGAGAGGGTGACCCAGGAGATACAGAACTCTGATTCCAGTCAAAGGGGAGGAGTGCTATGAAATTCTACACCTACCTGTGAAGAGACTAAGGCCTAATGCTTAAAAGCACACACTCATATGCCCCTACTTTACTGTATTTTATAAAATCATTGCACACCATATGGAATTAAAATAGCACCTATTGGTGCTATTTTTATTGGGAATTGGGTTACTATTCGCAGTTTCCATATAATCCTCAGCCATACCTTTCCTATTCATACATATACCTTGAATAGCTTCTGAATTATTTATATCATCTACTTTCTAGATGACAAAAAAGACTATCTATATGATTATTCAGGAATATCTTGGCCTGCTACATTTTTTTATTCCAACACACAGGACTGGAATTTTATGTCCCTTTTTACTTACAGCAATCTGTACAAGATCACCAGTACCATTTCGTCCTTGTATTTAAATCCCTATCCAAAAGATTTTCTCTGATAATCTTTTTAATAGTATTGAAAGCAGCACGCATATAGCTGTGTGTTTCCACTCTTGTAGGTAACACTGAAGACCCTCACGTGTGTTTTGCAGCTGTGTACCAGCATGGTAATGCTTCCAGCAGATCCTTCAACACTCGGCACACACGCACATCGAGAGAGTCTGATTAATATTCTTGATCCTATATGATGATGGGGTTTGGACAAACAGAGAAGTGGATGTCTACAGCCATCTCAACTTTCCAAAGAGGCACGTAAATGAAGCCTGCTGTACATGTTCTTATTTCTTATCAGATAGATCCAGAAAGAAACAACAGAGAAAGGGATAGACTTGGACACATCATTTCATTACGCTGGAATTCCTTACAAGAGGAACTGTGATACCACAATCTTCTTCAAAGTGTCTTCTGGAGCATGTGAAATGGCAATGAGCAGTGACTGATATTACATTTGCATTATTTACAACTCTTTAAAAGGCAGATTTAAATTATTCTTTTAGTTACTATGGTAATCTAGGAGACCTTTGCAGCCTCCAGCTTTTCTGAGTAAGGAATGAACTGTTGCTTTAAAGCATTTTCAATATTGCTAGAGAAGATTATTTATGATGCTTTTTTTTTTTTTTAATCTTTTCCTTTTATATTTGTTTGGCTGGCAACACATTAGATTGCTGTCATCTGGAGTGGTGACTTCAATATAATAATTCTGGCAACAGATCTGTAGACAGCATGGGTTAAAGATGCTCAGACTTTTATCCTCATGTGTAATGATGTAAACCTAGATTTGCCTGATATCAGATCATAAAGGTACTCCTGATTAATAAAATATGAGGTAAAAATTTTGAATTTATTTTATTATAACATTACATAGACTTTTGCTTTTTTTGGTTGTTGGTATGTCTTCACTGGAAGATTTACACTGGAGATAAGATTTAAGTTACCCTTACAGATGCTCTTTTTCTGTTGAGAATTATGATAAATGCTTACAACTACCTCTGAACTTCACTGAATAGTACTAAACATTCGTAAACTGCTTTAAAACATCACTCTATTACTCAATTTTCATGCAACCTGTACGCAAACGAACAGATTTTTTGAAAGAACTACATAGCTATGAAAAGTAGCGGACTGGGAGAGCCCTGAGATCTTGACTTGCAGAGCAGGTGCAAGGCCGAGCAGCGCAGCCCTGCAGGTCACTGTACATGGTCTCACCATTCTGCCCAAACCTCAGACGAATGCGTCAGCAGGCTTAAGAAGGCATTTCTGTCTCTGTGCTCCTCTACCTGCTTACTGCCCAGAAATCTGAGTTATTTGTTAGGTCTGGTGGAAGTTTTGTGATACACCCACCAGCCTTCAGGGAAATCAGCCTGATATCACCTCAGCTGTTTTAGGGAATGGTCATGCTGACGATAGCAGCTTTCAGTAATTACTGACCTGGATTTGATTGGAATCACAGATCAGAGGATTAGCTTTAAACTTGATTTATAGTTGGGTTTTTTCTTGTTTGAATATCAGTGGATATAATTCGTATTCCTTTCATCCTGGGCACATCTTCCAGTGTTGATTAGAAATTATAATTTCAATAAAAATATATATTTATAAATTTTCTTCTGCTGCATTTTTGCCCAAGTTCGTAAAGGTAGAGGCACTTAATCATTCAAGAGATTTATGTAGGTTTTGCATTCAAATCACTTTCTTTGTCCAACCTCCAGCATGAAAAAATTCACAAAAATACAACATAACTTACAAGTTTGTGTAAACAATCACCTTGCGGTGATAGCCACCATCTCAGGACTTCTGATAGCTTAACTTGTTTCTCTGGCATTTAAATCCATTCTCTATGCAGCATCACAACGTAAGTAAAATTCATATTGATATAACTCATGCTTCTTTCCAGAGGAAGCCATTGAAATAAAACATTTTGATTTTTCCACCTCATTATAGCCCATTCTTCAATTTCAAGATACTTTTACATGCTCTTTCAAGAGAATGCACATGGAATGACACTGGTTTTAAGTTACATGAATTGTAAACATCTTGTTGACCTGAAGGAAAACAAGTAACCAAATGTAATTAGAAAATTAATTAGGCTGTGTCTGCATTTTGTCATTTTGGCTTGGACCCTTAAAGCAGTTTTGAATCAAATTCCCCAGTTGTTCACACTTACTGCACATTGTTGTGTAAAAGGAATGGGTTTTGTATATACAACCTAGATTTCTTTCAGAGAAGCTAAATTGCCAGCCCCACACCAGGTGCTCCCCAAATGTGCTCCGTCCCCATGCGGGGGTTCAAACCACAGTGCTCAAACCAAACGTCAGACAGTTTCTAACCGCCCGTGTGCCAGAGACTTTTGGTCCAGAGCACCACATTAGACCTACTCTGGGTCAAAACTTCAGACCACATTTATTGTAGATGTAGAAGGCTCAGCATCTAACAGCAGATCTATTGATCCGCTCCTAATGCATCAAATTTCTGGCTGACATACACACAGTCTTCATTTTCTCTGCATGTGTGGGCCCGGTGCAGCTAGAAGGAGGGACGTGTCTGCGTGATTTTTGCAAAACCATCATGCAAACCCAAGCACTGAGACAGCCATTGCTGTGGTTGGTGGAATCACAGCTACTAAACCTCTCCCTGAGACGTGCCGGTCACCCCGCTAACACTGCTGCATGGCTACGGCACGGCTCAGTGCGCAGGCCAGCTCATGCCTGCCCAACAAAGACTGCGTGCCCATCCTCGGGGCACTGCTCCAGATGTGCTGGATGCGATTCTGCACAGAGCTTCCTTAAGAGCAGGAAGATCACCCAAAGATGCAGCTCCCAGTCTGGGGGCCTGTTCCGGTGCCCCTCGGAGGAATGTTCTAATGATGGCATGCAAAATTATACAACACTATCAGATTTCAGCCAAATCGGACCATAGGTCACGTACAACACAGAGATGTCTGGAAAACAGATGCTTCTCATAGCTCTGGTTATCTAAATGGATGTGGCTGATTGCCTTTTTCACGTTAATGAATAGATATCATGGGGAGCCTTCAGGTAAGAGATTAAAATAATCACGGCTGCAGCGGGTCGAAGAGGTCCAAAGACGTTTTGCAAACACACTTAAAAATACAACAGCCCTAAAACTACAGTGAATACTTGACACAAAGAGTCATCTCTATCAATATGCATAATGTTCCCCTTATTGTTGTTGATGAGATATTCAGAATAAAATTCCGAGGCTTATTTTTAAGCCTATTTGTGGATTACTTCCATCAAGTCGGTTTTACAAAACAATCCTAACAAAAAGCACACGGTGTAGCTCTTTATAGCAACCTATTTCCTATTCCTTTTTTTTATAGATACTTTATAGTCCACCCATCTTATCACATAAAAGGAAAAACGCTTTCATTACTGAGAACTGGCTTTCATATGAAATTGCATAACTCAATACTTTTCCATTAGATTGGAAAATGAATCTTTCCTTGTTAAAAAAAAATGTTTTCATTTCACTCTTTTCTCTTTATCAACCAAAGTAAAGATGAGCAAACTTCAAACATATGTTCAGTATTACAGCTAAAAATCCACCAGTGTATTTGAAAAAGCCAAACTTTGAACAGGCCAGAAGACAATTTCTCTCTTGTGACACAACTTTGAAGGACATTTACCAGAACACCCACTCACTTGGCCAGAAAACCTTTCAGTAACCAGAAATGACAGTTCAAGCATACATTTAAGTGGTAAATTCTAATGCCCAACATTAAATGCTCGTCCACCTCTACAGTCATCACACAAAACAGCTTCTCTTTCTATTCTTCTGTCTTCCAGTTATTTCATCTGCTTGCCTGTACTCATCTCTCCCGTTCTTATCAGACATAGAGACATCGTAAGACTAATATCTGTAACAGCTTGTTCAAAAAATAGCATTATTCCTGCAGGGAACAGAGGACTGGATGGCCAAGCAGCAAAACTTGCCAGTGAGATTTATTCTTATGAAGTAAATGATGGAGAAGTCAAGAAATTATTAATCTCCCTTGAAAGATAAATTCTGAATGCAACCTTGAAATGCTTTCCAGCATTTCACAGAATTTCATTTTCATAGAATTGATCTTACTGCTTAAAACATCAAACAATAAAAGGAATGCAAATCTTAAGTTAGTAACTCCTAACTGTCCTAGACCAAGACAAGTAATCTTCACTGCTCTACAGATACTCACTGAAGCTGTTGTCACTAGCCAGAGATTCAAAGTCATCATGTGGCTCAAGGCATTTTAAGGATGTATACAGAAGCAGAAGGTAGTTTGCTCTAGTGCAACTCAATAGTGAAAAAAGATTTAGTTGTGGGTAAAAAAGGGCCTCTTGCCCTCAGCAACTCTTCAAACACACTTGCTGCACAAATGAAAGCGCTCTCTTGCTGCTTTTGAGAATGAGTCTTAAATCAGCCAAGATAGTCCTGTTGGAGTGAAGCAAAAAATAATACCACCTAGTCCTAATGTGACCTCAGCTGGACTCCCGCGTGCAGCTCTGCCCACCCATAGTTAAGAGAGAGGAGCTGAAATTCCAACAGTTGCAAATGATACTCAGATAATCCGAGGAATGGAGAGCTTGTTTTACAAGAGGAAACTAAAAGGCTTTGGTTTGCTTAGTCTAGCAAAAGGGTGGCTGGGGGGGAATATGATTGATGTCACGTGCTTGGGCTTGTTCCAAGCTGTGAGAATTCTGACCAGCAGGCCAGTACACACGTGCTAGCTGGCTAATGGGCAAGCCAAACAGATCAAAGTCATGCTGGAGCCTCTCCGGCAGTGGCCTGCTGATGCAGTTGCCTGCCTAACAAAACTTTTAGTTCCTTAAAACTCATGAAAACTTAATATCTGAACTTTCAATCCTTCCAACAAATTCAGCTGAACCTGAAGCCATGGCTTCAAAAGATACTGAGTCTAGAGCAGACTGAAATGGACCAACTGACAGGCAGAGAGTCTGAATCAATAGGCTCTTAGGAAAGCAGCTGTGGACACTTTATGTTTACTGTCACTATACATTTTGAATATCTTAAGCAAGGAAACAATAGTGAAACAGAGAGGTAAGGGAAGAGCAAGAGATATTTGCATGCATTGAATGAGCCAAGAGAGAGAACAGCTCTTTTGATCAGCAAGAGTGTATTATATTTTGAACTTTTCCATTAAACACATATAGACTGCAAGTAGGGAAAAACTACATAAAAGATACAATAAACAGCATACTATATTATTATTTCAGATTACAACAATCATAGTTTAAGGAATTGCACTGAGGGAAAAAAAAATTCCGCAGTGTGGTTAGTGAATCTGTTTGCAATAGTCTGCATACTATAGGTGCTACACTTTAGCGTTTAAACAATTATTTTAAGAGGCCTGATTCACCAAGGTACCTGTAAAAAGAAAGAGGTGGGTGTCTCTGAAGACCTCTACCCCTTCAGTTCTTAAAGAACCCTGGGCCTTACTTTGGGGATAGTGATTCAACAGGCATCTAAAATTGAGGTAGATGTCAAATATCCAAGATGCATGGATTGAACACAATCCTTCCAGTGAAGTATGTTCTCAAACCTTATTTATCTGAATCAATACCTTCCCAATTGCAATAAAGCACTAACTTTCATGATTTTTCACACGTGCACTGTGAACAACACTCTTACCTGGTCCCTAGCATTATAAAGTGTAGATCCCTCCCATGTATATTCAACATTTCAACATCCCACTGAAACATTTCAATCTAGTTAAGGAGTTGGCTTGGAAAGCTGATGGAACTTTCAGCTGCTGTCATTCATGAGTTTCCTTAAGAAAATGTTTTTTCCTCCCTTACATGTTATGAAGGAACTAAATTATTTTTCAGTCACATTTATTTACAGGAAGCAAGGCAGAAGGTTGAGACTCCACAGACCAACAGACTGGAAGGACTTGTAGTCAAGAATTAAATTCTATTTGAAATATTCAGGCATTGTTGTCTTGTACATATGGCTTATAATCAGCAAGACCCATTGGTGATGCTTTCTGCTAGTGGCCAGGCCTTGATTAGCGCTTGGTATAGATTACAACATGTTGTCAGTATCCTACAGACAGATTTCCTCAGGGGTATGAAGGCAATGAGAAATGGTAAAATAAGATTTTGTGAGGGGTGGAAGGGGGCTCTGTACCACCTCCAGCAGGAGGACTGCCAGGAAGGGTGGCTTCCACATCATTTGTGTGGAGCAGCGTGGCTTCTGAGACATACACCCACAGCAGCAAAGAACTGGAAGAGAAAAATAGAGTGCAGGGGAGCCCATGTCCCTCATGGTGAACTACAAGGAGGGGTGCTGCATCACATCAGTCAGCAGGGCGATGTACGCAGCTCTCTGGGTGGCTGGGAGACAGATTCCTCCAAATCACTGGAGATGTCAGCTTCTCTGCCTTCCCACTGCCAGAGGCAGTGCATGCAAAAAAAGACTGAAATCCAGATGTTGGGAGCTTTCTAGTGGCCCTTGTCTTCTGGATTTCTACCAGAAAATACAAGAGAATAACAGTGAACATACTATGTTCACCTGACAAACATTTCCCCATGAAGGAACCATATGGAGAATCAGAACTGCAGCTTGACAGAGTTTTTACAG